GCCACTTTGGCCATTCCAGAATAATTTGTGCACAGTGCAGTTTATATTAAGTCCTCTGGGTACACAGGCATGCATGATTTCCAGTAATTATACATGTTGGTAAGAGGTCTATGTAGCAAGTACTTGTATAAAATAGAACAGCAGTGGCCTAAGGTTGTAATGGGTGGGGTATCATTCACGTCAGTTGTCTCAGCCTGTTTCTTTTGCCATTCCTTAAACTTTTTTTGCATGTAAGTTGCGTTTTGTTTTGACATCGACCTTATTAATGCAAACAGAGGCTGCATCGTATTTAAACATCTATTGTGATGCTGAGTAGGTGTGCAGAATGAGAGTGATTACTAGGGTTTGCCAGATTTCCTGATAACATGAACCACTGAGGGAGCCTTAGTACACCATCAGGAGTGATTCTTCTGACCCAGTATCAAGTTTCACCTATTGCACGTTCCAGGAAAACCAGAATCAGATATGCATTGAAGGGTACGGCCAGAAGGCAAATAGCTTGGGTAGTGATAGCTGTAGCTTATTAAGGTCATAGAACAGCATTTCTCAAACAAATGATTAACAGAAAATGGATAGTTGAATGGCGATGATGGATTTCTGTGCTATGTCTCCGAGTATATAACTCTTTAACAATGAGCTCCTTCGTGAAACAACTACATATTGAGTAATGCTACTTAATCCAGAGATATATGTTTTGGTCAGGCTGCCCTAAATAAGTTATGACATGATCTTTCATGAGCACATTAAAAATATAAATTCAAAAAGCATGTCTTTATATGAGCTCATTGTTAAGACAGAATGAATGTCCTTATATTCATATATTAAATGGTAGGTTCAGAAAATATAGCACATACTTTTAGACAAAAAAAAATGGAATAAATAAAAGGGAAAACAGAGTGTGAAAATCCAGAATAATTTCAATCTATTGGGTATTGAGGGAATTACCCACCAGAGTCAGATGTCTATTTTGAAAACTTTAGGTCTAAAGCTGTAATTGTGGTCAGATAAATGTGTATTTTACGCTGAAAAATGGACTGTTTAGCTTAACTCCATAGCAGTGGATAAGAATAGCAATTTGCTAAATTACATGAAATAATGTCACTGCAGGATGTCCCCGGCCTGCTTGGGCTATTTTGGGTGAAAAGGTTCTGTAGTCAGTCTCCTCGAGCCTGAGTAATCACAGATGGAAGTTGAAAAATCCTTGATATAGAATAAGAAATCCTCAATTATAAAAAGAAATACACCAGTAACGAAAATGGTATATAAAGCATTGAAGTTTTGCTGGTTTCAACTTTAGGGGAAAGTTAGCAGCTGTAAGCAAATGTACGTCTAATTCGACAAGACATAGAAATTCAAATAACCCTCATGCGTATTTCCACTTTTTCCTGGTTCTTTGCATAATGTGTATTTAGTGGTATAAGACATACTAAAATTTGGTTTATGGTTATTTTGCTTTGGTTGTTTCAGCATGTTTACTCAAACATACTATTGTGGATGGATTTTTGGTCAATTTTAAGTGCTTTTTATAGTCGGCACTCTTCGAATGTTCTTCTGAGTGAGTCAGAAGGCTACTTAATAAACAGATTTCAAGAGAAGCTACAAATTAAGGTCTTTTATTGGCATGATCGTTTTTATTCGGTTTTCATTCGGTTTCTTTCCAGATGAAATTCTGCACATTGTTGGTTTTTATAACAAACATTCCCCTTTCAAACTGTCTGACAGAAACCCAAATAGCAGAAGTTTACATTTTTATTTCTGTGGTTAGGCATTGACTGACAAAGAACACACAGCATCTCCGCTGGTGACTGCATTCTTTGCCAGTCGTGTACCTGTACCTGTCAGTGGAGCAACAAATAAGCTAAAAAGTCATGGAAAACATGCAAGATCCTTTGTACCTTGTAACAACACGGATTAAACAAGTGCAATAAGGCAATATGTCTGTCTGTCTTTTACTCATAAGAATATGACTGATAATATCCTAGATTTATACAGTATGTACAAATATATTGATAAGATGACTGGTTTTCACCCAAATGCAATTTTTTTTCCGTTTTGTACAGTAGCTGTAAATGTGACTTGAAGCCTGTACCACAAAGTGAGATTTATTGGTTGGCTAGCTAACTTGACGAATTTAAAGTACCTCAGGTTAAATGGACTACGGGCCCTATGTAGGCCAAGCCCGACGCAAGTGTATTTGCTAGCATGAACCCAACGTATTTGTCATTTTCCTGTCCAGCGCCCATGGCGTTTAAATTGCAGACGTGCGCCGTTGGGCATGTTGGTCTTACAATGAGATGGAGTGAAGTGCATTACTGGCAAATTGCTATTTTTAAGCAGCAGAAAGTGATTGTGCTTTTGTCCAACAAAACCTTGGTCTAAAGTCAATTGCTCAGTATTTCACTGTTATTTTAATGACATGTTATCGAGTTAGTAACATGCACATACACAGGTGTGTGCACAGCTTGTTACAGCTTGTACTTGCTACATACACAGAGGCACGCAGCAGCACACAAACATGCAAATGATTAAAAATAGATCACAATATGAAACATCACTACAGTGCACATTAAAATATTTTACAAAATCTATGTCATAATTGTTAGTCTTAGATTAGCCAGCAAGGCCAAGTATATATCACTGCAGCCGGGAACCGAGTGTCGAGTAGTGGGGCAACTCAACATTGCCCCTCCTAGTCAGCATTGCCCCTCCCACTCAACTCTCGGCTCCCTGCTGCAGCGATATGCCTCTCAGTGGAGCTGCATGAAATTTATGGTATGGCTTTGTTGCAGGTGCATAATGTAAATAATTCCCATTGTGGGAGCTCCCTTGGCAATACTAGCTCAGAACCACCACCCGCAAAGGAAAAAATGCATTTTGTTTGCTTATTTTCAGGTAGAGAATAACGATTAATCTGTAACCTTAACAAATAGGCTATGTTCAACATTTAACAGTTAAAACAGGCTACGTTTTTCACATAATACTGGGCTAGTCATACATGTAGGCATATTTCGTCTATACAACAACATTTGCAATAACAGGTTGTAGATCTGCACAGACAAAATCCACACATTTCTGTGTTGTTTCAGTCTTTAGTGCGGTTAAAACTTTGGATTTGCTTGCACTTGCATTGAAAGTTAGTGTAGTCTGGATGTTCAAAATTGAACACATGTGGCCTTAAAGTGCCAAACTTGAGCCCCGTGCACTTCGTTGCATTCGTCACAACGAGCAAAAGGCAAGTGGTTCTCATTGTGGTCACTTACAGCCAGATATCTGATTCCCCTGTATTTAGTTTGACATTAAGTAGTTGTGTAGTTTTATATTCACTTTTCCATAAGCAGGCAGTTATGTCCTGGGGCATTAATGATCTGTGTGCTGGCTTTGCTCTGCCATCATTAGCATAGGCGCTCATGAGAGTAACAAGGGACTTTTAAAATGCTAACATCCTTTTGAAAGTAACAGGGTAAGCTTGCAGTGTAAAAAAGCAAATTAGGGTTAGTAGCCTGTTTTTCTTTCTATTCACTCATGAACATAAATAATACTTTAATAAAATAATAAAAACATTTTTCAACAATACTTAATTGTTTTGATTATTTTTCCCGCTCCCGCAAACATATGAGTCACTTTCCACCTGCTTCAGCATTCAAAACATGAAAAATTGCAGGCATCTACTTTGGTGGAATCCCGCTCTTTCCGTAGATGATCTTTCACTTTACGCAAGAGCAGATGTGTTTTGCAACCTGGCAAATCCGCCATTATAATAGCAATCCACCAAGGTGTAAGGGGATAACACTCTGAATTATAGGATGTTTCACCCCAGACCCACTGAGGAAGAATTATGAGACTTAGTGCAGCCATTTTGGACCATGTGCCTGGCTCAGCGACTATTTTTCTGCCGTTAAACTAGCAAAAGTGGGTTGGCCACGCCCTAAAAGAACTTGCACCAAGCGCTTCTAATTGTGTGCTTTAGGTCGTTAAAATAGAGCCCTTTATCAAGTCATGTCAAGTCAAGTCAGGTGGGACTTCATTGTTTTGCCATCCATACACAGCGGTATAAGATGGTATACAGTGGTATAAGATGGTATACAGTGGTATAAGATGTCCTTCCCTCTGGACCACGATGCAACATAAGACACATGGGGGGCTGTATGTACACAATTACAGGGCTAAAGTTCAGATTAATGCACAGTGCACATGATACAACAGGAGGGGAGACACACAGTATATACATGAATAGAGTGTACCTAATATACCAGTTGGAATGCAGCGGCTGTATCTTCATAGCTTGTTGGCCTGGGCTAAATAAGTCAATCTTGCTACACCCAAAATTCCAGCTCGGTGATACAGGCCCCAGGTGTGTTGAAGGACTTGTTTACATCATACTCCATGAACTGTAAAATGTTATCATGATAACTGTCATGAATGGAGAGTGTGTGTGTGGTTGTTTGCAGTGGAGAGGTGTTGATGAAACTCAGATGCCTGTTTTTTTTTATTTTCTTGTTCATTTTTCCTGTTGAGCAATATGACGAGATATCATGATTAGTACAAAGGCTTTGTGCAGCATTTCCAGCAGGGAGTCCCTCACAACCTAAGCACTTTTTTCCATTGACCTAATTTCACCATTTGTGTTGGAAGTCCAACAATGTCCTTTGATTGTGCTTGGATACTATAATGTTAGAGACATTCTAACTTCCACTGAGAAATAATTCTGGGTTAGGGCCAGACAATTACATATTTTTTCTTCCAGATATTATTGAGTGCTGTTTTCTTCGGACTTTTATAGTGTCTCATTTTATTTTATTTTCTTGGTTCACTTTTTGATATGCAACACAAGGGAAAACTCAATTAAGTGGCTTGTTAGGGCACTTTTTTTTAATTCACAAGTGATGAGTGGGACTAAAAGGTTTCCCTTTTGCCAGGTAATGAACAATAAATCTTTCCACACCTGTGTCCGATTTGTAGTGCAATGGCCATGAGAATCGGCACTGTCTGCTTTGTGTCAGGGCCGGGGGGCTGGACGGAGCCATGGAGACGAGCAGCTGCCGGGAGAGAAGGTCCTCCAGGACATAAGGGAGACGCGCGGGCAGGAGGTGCGCCTGAAGGAGATTGAGGAGCAACTGGAACGCCTGGGTCACGAGCAGGAGAGCACAGTGAGTTCAGACTGGCTTTTGTAAGACTTCTCCCTGGCTACAGTACCAACCCCTTGGCTTATGTTGGCTCCTTTTCCATACCCAATTATACCATACATTCAACATCATCTTCATTTTTAGGCATCTTGATTTGTTCTTTCCTGCTGTGAGAAAAAGTATTACGTCTTGCCTAGGAAGGGTAAATCATGACATCTTGGAAAACATATGATTTTCTCACTGACAAAAAAAAAAACAAAGAATATCTAAGTCTGTCTGTGGGTATTTGCATGTCTGTTTGCATGTGTTTTTAGTACAGGCAATGTCTGTAAGCTGTTTAATATACACCATGCATGTTTGATGGCCTTGTCTATCAGAAACGAAACTGTTCGTAATTATAGCCTTCAGTGGAGGTTTAAATTTATGAGTTTGAACCATAAACACTTGGGAGATGACCAAACTCTAGAAGGAACCCAACAGCTGCTCAATCAGGTTTTGAGAATCAGAGAAAAACGCATTCTTTTCACGTGGAATAAGCCTTTTGGCTGTTGGCCATGCTTAGTAACACTGTTTGTCAGTTCTTCTGTGAGAAGCAGAAAACCTACACAGCAAGCTCATCACTTACCATCTCCAATCTCCAGGAGAGTGGCCTGTCCACTAGGATTTCTCCTCCTTTCGATGTGAAGGCTTTCTGCAATGGGCTATACCTCATTTCAAGCTTTTTATTGCAATTTCAGCATTTTATTGTTTTAAACCTGAAGTCAGTTTTTATTACTTTATTGGAAATAACATGGAATACTGCAGTAAATAACTTATGTAAACCCATGTGTGAGACAATACAGATAAATCATAAGATATGGTATGAGCAACTTTTACTGAATCTGGGAGACTAGTGTGGAAAGTGGAGAGTGGGGTTTTAAAATCTGGAAAATCCTAGCAGAATAATGTGCTCATTGTAGGAAAAAAATCAACAACTTTGTTTTGCAGGCCATTTTTTTTATTTTACTAGAATGCTAAAAATTAGGACTGTTACATGGCCGAGTGGCTCTCCCATTTTACCCTGCAAGCTCTTTAGTTCTGTTGGTGACCCCTGTGCACACATCTTCTGCAGCAGTTAAAAGCCTGTCCCAATTCCTCCTCAAATTCCTCCACCTCAGTGTCCCTTGGCAACCATTCAGCTCATTCTCGTTGTGCGAGATCCCATGACAATACTGACTCAGAACTGCCATGATTCCCAAAGCCCCCGTTGCTACGCATCAAGCACAAGCACGTCTTTGGGACAAAGGGTGATGGATTTGTTTTCTGCATCCACTGACGTTTGTGACTTTAATTTAGTGTGCAGCAAGATATCAGCAACGTAGAATTCCAAGATTTTGCCATGTCATTGTTCACAGCGCATTCTCTTACAAACTCTGTACAATGGGTCCAAAGAAATACCTGCTTCATCACCACCTACTTATATACATGTGTTCACAATGGACACCTCCTCTCGATGGACAAACCTCACACTATAGTCAGACACATTCACAACAAAAGGCATGCTGTTCTTCCTCCTTTCTGTTTGTTTTTACCCGCTTCTTGCAGCCATTTCCTTGTACTTGAAAGCAGTTGTTTAAAAGAAAAACTCATTAATCTTGCCAAATTACAATCAAATGTCCAGTACTTGATAAGGGAATGCTTGTTTTCTGTTCTCTCTTAATGTGGCTTGACACAATTTCATTGTCATTACAGTTAAATCAGTTCGTCCGTCTTAAATAAACACTTGCACAATAATTTGCTGGTAAAAGCTTTTTGTAAATACGCTGATGTCACACTTACATTTGGTTTTAAGCTCCTTGTTTGCATTGATATTGATTATCATTTCACCTCCTCTGCATCACAGGTAATTTGGGGGCAACTGCCTATTCTGCCTATACTGTAGCTAGATCTGGCTCTCTTGATTATTCCTCTTCCAGTATACCTCTACCTAGAGAGGACCTGAATAACTGGCTCACCAGCAAGTTGGATGTTGTCATATATCAGCTAGTTTGTCTGTGCTATAGAAAGGCACGGAAGTACTATTAAATATTCTGATAAATAACAAGGTGATTTGGTACAGGGGTGGCACAGTGCTGCAGTTGTCCTGTCACCTCATGCTTCTAGGACCTGAATTCAAGTCCCTACCCGGTTTCCATGTATGTGAAGTCTATATGTTCCTCCCGTGTCATTGTGGGGTTTTCCCTAGGTACTCCAGCTTCCCCCCCGCCACCATCCCCCCCCCGTCCAAAAAACATGCGAAGGTTAACTGGATTTGCCAAATTGCCCATAGGTGTGCATGTGTGAGTGCCCCCTTGAATGGCTTGGCACCCCATCCAGGGTTGTTTCCTGCCCTGCTCCCGTAGCCTCTGCGATAGGCTCAAATCCCCTGTGAACCCTGAACAGGACAAGCAGTTTCAGAAGATGGATGGATAATTTGTTACAATACTTTGTAAAACAAGGAGCTAATGGGTATGTATTTCAGAGGTTAATTAGTTGTAAGAGATATACAGCCCATTTATAATCCAAGGTACAGCGATTTCCAAATACTTCAGGCCAGACATGCACATACTGCACGTCTGGCCTAAAGAAATTCAGTGTCTTACGTACTCTGTCACCATCTTGTGATTTTCTTTGCTGGAACTCTTTCAGATGAATATAACTGAAAATTGCGCAGAATAAATCACTGAGGTTTCAGCTTTGAAAAAGCAAATTAATTGTGCCACTCATCCTTGAAGCCTTGCCTGTGGTTGAATTTAACTGGATAAGATGAATAGAGTGTGGTGGCAATTCCCTGGGTTTCTCCATGCTGTTTTTACAATCTGATCCAAAAGGCATAGAAGGGGTGAGTAATTTCCTGAACGCAACCTAGATTTAACCCCAACCAAAACAAAATGAAACTGTCATTGCTCAGGCAGATTTGTCATGTTGCAGAACAGAGGCAGCCTCACAAAGGCCGTGACATGGGCCATTGGGGCCTGCTGGCAGAGTTCAGCATCACCCTGGAATCACACTGGAAAACATGCACGTTTAATATTTATTTTATTGATTGCAATTAATGAGTGATCTCAAGTGCAACAGTGTGGTTGGGGTAAAGAAGAGAAAATGCTCCCATGCACGTACACTAGCCACAGACGTCACTATCGGGGAGAGTGCCACCTGGCTTTAGTCTCCTAACTTGCATGAAAGGCTCATTGGTGAGACTGGACACTGCATGGCGGGAAGAGGCGGAGACTGGAGCAGGGAGGGAGCGGACTGCCTGTTTACACTGTCATGACCGATGGAATATGATAATGTTGGGTGTGTCGCTGCGCATCAGCTCCCCTTGGCCTGTTCTGATATCCCCACCAAACATCTGCTCACTGTCAGAGCCAAGACCCAGAACAACCATGTCAGCTACTCCTTTGTTCTGTGGTTTCAGAGTGTTCACACCGTCTGCCGCAGGGATGCAGGGATCCCCATCTGCACAGTAACTGTAAAGCTTCAAGAATTTCACAGCCGCTGCACAGATAAGCGCGTATGTGTCTGTTTGAGAGGGTCTCTCAGCATGTCCGGCTGGTGTCTCACTTTTGCTAAAGGTTTAACTGCACATACTTAAATGTGCTGTTAGGAGCTCATCGTGACACATGTGTCCCAGTCATTGTGTCCCTTTCAGCGGCCGACATGTGAAACTCGACACATTACGTTCTGACAGCATTGACCAGCAACTATAGGGGGGCCTTTCACCGGCACAGCAGCAGAGCGTCAACACTGGCAGGAATCTCTTCCCCTCCCCCCAACTGGCCTGGATCAAGCTCAGTCTCAACACAGACACTGTCAACACGTGCTAGCGGCCGGATTCGTGGGTAGCCGTGCTTAGTGATGGGCTGGGATTCCTCACATGACTGCCTAACTTAACTCCAGGGACAATAACTCCCTCCTTTCAGAATGGCACTCACAGGCAATCTCCCCACCCCCAATTTCCAATGGATTTAGAGAAATCGAAGAAAACGAACACGCCCGTGACCACGGTGGATTTTCAGAGCTGTTTAGTGCATACTGATAATGCCTGGTAACTAAGACATTAATATTCGCTGCTTTTATTCGCTCAGTTAAGAATACTTCTTTATTATTTGCCATTATTTATTGCCGCCATACTTTCAGATGATGTGCTGAATTGGTAGTATGACATCCCCTTAGACTGTAGGTTTCATGTGACTGCATCAAAATATTTTTTTTTCACCATAACGACAGCCTTGCATTATGTATCTTGAAGGAAGTCCCACATCATGCACCAGTTCTCATTGAGTAATGCAAGACAGTGTAACAGTTGCTTAAAAGGGAAAAAAAACAGACTGAAATACTAAATCCCTGGTACTAATTTAAACCTCATTACTGAATAGAAATGCTATTTTAGGGCGTAATTTAGAACACACATATCCATTTTCTTATATATAAACTACACACTTTCACTTGATTTTCAAAACGTCAGGGCCTCGATTGTAAACAATTACGCATTAGTGTAAGTATACATTGATTAACTATGACTGTAAACATGTTCTGGGTTTATTGTTTCTCCTTTAATTTATAACTTAAACTTCCTCCTTGTAACTTTTGATTACCTAATCTCACGATATGGTAAGCAATGTTTGGGTTAGCTTTAAGGGAAAAGATACTATCAGTTTGATCCACAAAGCCTGCTTTGCTAAATGTACATATATTAAGACATGTTTGAAAAACAAGTACAAGGCATAAAGGACTATAGTCCTAAATAATAATTCTAATCTATTTAATGGCATACGGGGCCAAAGGGGTGTAAAATTTAATAAGTGAAACAAGGTTAAATAAGCGTTTTTAGGGTCCGTAAGCCTGTAAGGTATAGTAAGCAGTATAAGGATTATTAAATATTGCAAAGTCCAGTTGGCGCTAAATGAACACAAAGCTGAGGGTTTTGCAACAGTAGTCAAAGGCCCAAGATACCAGGACAGTTCTGCTCTGTAGTCAGTGCTATTTTTAATTACTTAACACTG